TAACGTGTCCCAGGTTTGACGGATAAGGATAAAGGGAAGATAGGTTGACCGATCTAGCCACTCATTGCTTCACAGATGGCAGCTGGCGACTGGAGAAAAGGTCATCTGAGCTCAGAGGGTGTCTTGATTACGCCCCAGAAGTGACTTGGGAATAGAATGAGTCGTCTTTGCATTTAAGACTTCGTCAGAGTTTGAGACTTTTGATGTGACTAATCAATACTGTGGTTGATTGATGTATATCTTCGAAATAGCTCAGTTGGATGACTCAGATCTTTATCTTCCCCAGCAGGATTGTATTAGAAGGTGGGTCGTTCTCGTAACTTATTGACTAGATAAGTGAGTTGTCAGCCCAGTCAGACAGCTCGGTAGACAGCCGAGTCGCCACTGGGAGAGTCATCTCGATTTGGAGTTGGATGGACTCCCGAGTAGTCGCCTTAAAGGCGAAGGGCCGACTGCTTCCGCGCTTCGTGTCGGCTAAAGCGTTTGGCTTTTGGCTAGGCTTTTCAACTGAGTCGATTTGAATTGTGACTCCATTAGGCTCATGGAGACAATCTTCTAATCATTTTTGTTGATAAATGGTAGATTACCATAACAACATTATTAATATATTAAATATTAGTATTTAATATGTTATTATATTATTATATAAGATATTTTGTTTATTAAAATTTTATATTATTTAATAAATATTAATAATATATTAAATTAACAATAATATAGTATAGCATATAGTATAATATAATAAGCATGTTGATAATAACTCTATATTAATTACATTTAATAATATTATGTTAGATATTATATTAACACATTCTCAAACTAAAAATCAAAACACCAAACTTAAAACACCTAAAAGGTGTTTTGAAATAAGTGTTGTGTTTTTGGTTTGAGGATGATTTAGCTCAAAAAACACCATGGTTTTCAAAAGCATAGAGTTTTGTTTTTGGTAAAAATACCATGGAAACAAGTAAAACACCATGGTATCCAAACAGAACCTGTAAAGAAAACATATAGATAGACACTTTAAGACAGTCTGTTATTGAATCATTATAAATTGCGTGTTGAAACACTATTGTTACTTACCAATAAATTTTAAGCTGAGTTTGACAATTCTTCACTAACTTGGTTAAGGTCTTAACCGGGTTAGTTTTAAACCAAGGTAAGGGATGGGCCAATTCTAACCTAGATAATGGGCAAACAATATAAACCAACAAAACTAGGTTTGGAGTTGCCCTATTTTAGCCAAACAATAACTTCCGCCCTTATCCAAGTTAGATCCACCAACTTGCTTAGTGGTGGAGTTGCCAAACACTCTCCTAGATGTTTTGTACTGATTTGTATTGTTTACGCTAATATTGTCTACTTTTCATATTAATTTAAGTGAGACGTATGTTGGCAAAGACGTGACTTTGTTCCGATGGTACCCTTACATATAGTTCATTGAAGCAGGCAATACTCAGAATTATACTTTCTTGTGGTGTTATATTCTAACCCAAGCAGTTTCTAAGTGGTATACATGTGCAAAAGTAACTAAACTATAAACTAGGCAATATGTCCTAGATAGTACAAATGTAGTCATGACGTTTACCTCTCTATATGGCTTTTGAGGAAATCTCTAGAGTTTTGAACATCATATTTTTTATTTTTATGAGGCAAATACAAGGAAAGACAGTATGCATCATCTTTATTTAATTTTTATTAGTTTATTTCCCTCTGAGATTTTATAGTTAGGAAGTTCGGGATACAAATATTATCAGAATGTGTTGCGCGAGGAAATGCTTGAAACTATCTCCTACTGACTGTAAACAGGTCAAAATATTTTCTTTACACACAATCCTCTTATATATGAGTTCGAATAAAATCTATCTTCATAAGAGAAAAATAAATTCTCAAAATAATATATTTGTGATAATTAATTGCAGATAACCCCATCATCTATACCTTTAATATCAAATATAACTCTTAAAACTTATATACCCTACCACTTAGGCCTCGTTTGGTAGGCGGGAATGGGGTGGAATGGAATTGCATTCTCACTTCTCATTCCTTCATACCAAACAAATCAACTTTTTAGATGTTGGAATGACCATTCCCAGGGAATGACCATTCTCACTTTTTGTGGGAATGGGCATTCCAAGTGAGAAGATAGGGAATGATCATTCCCATTCAAGAGAGAATCAAATCAGTTATTTATTTTTTAATTATACCCCTATTAATCAACTGATTCCCACATTAGTAATTCTGACATCCTTTTCATATGCAATATGCATCAACTGTGAATATCATTCTTTATATTTTTTTTGGACCTATGAAAGATGTGATAATCTTTTATTTATTTTTCTTTAATTTTTTAAGACTAAGAAATAGTGAGTATTGTTTAAAAAATATAAATAGAACATACACTTGAGAGATAACATGCGCAATAGTATAACATGCACAAAAATTAGTATAACATATGCATCAATAAAATTGTTTAGTTATTATCATTAATGTTTATTTTTATCTTATTAAAAATATATGTTGTTGTAAGGACATTATTAGAAAATGCGATTCCATTCTCACTTGTGGACAAGTGATACCAAACATGGGAATGAGAACGAGATTTTCATTCTAGCCTCATTCTACAAAAGTACCCAAACGTGAGAATGAGAATGACCATTCCATTCCCACATACAATCCATTCCATTCCTTCTTCCATTCCATTCTCACTTATGTCCATTCTCGCGTACCAAACGAGGCGTTAGCCCCCTTAATTTTATGAAGGTGAGAGAGCCTACTTATCTTTAAGGCCTCGTTTGGTAGGCGGGAATGGGGTGGAATGGAATGGCATTCTCACTTCTCATTCATTCATACCAAACAAATCAACTTTTTAGATGTTGGAATGACCATTCCCAGGGAATGACCATTCTCACTTTTTGTGGGAATGGGCATTCCAAGTGAGAAGATAGGGAATGGTCATTCCCATTCAAGAGAGAATCAAATCAGTTATTTATTTTTTAATTATACCCCTATTAATAATAAAAAATAAACCAAAAAATAATGGCTCTTTGACTAAGTATTAGGGAATGTAAATCAGCTTTTCCTTCTTTTTAGCCTGCACCAAAATAAACGCCTCCTATCTTTCTATTCTGAAATCGCCGTGCCGTCACCTCTCCTTCCTTACTTCAATCCCAACCCCAACCCCTCCTCCCCCACCTCTTACTCTGCCGCCTCAACCGCCTCTCGAACCCAGAGCCTCCGACGACGCCTCCACCTCGGCATCGCCTCTTCCACTGAAGTCACCGCCACGCCTGGCATCGCCTTTCTCTTCAACGACCGAGCCAAAAACCCTAATTCCACACACAAACGCAATCTCCATCTCTCCCAAACCAATCTCCATCTCTCCCAAACCCAATCTCTCTCTCCCAAAGCCAACTCACCCCCTCCTCCCTCAAATCTGACGCCGAGCTTGATCTCCGACGCCAACGAAATCCGATTTCGACAAGGTAACAATTTTAATTTTTTTTCATAAATTTCTGCAATTTCATTTAGTTAATATGTATATTTAGAGGTATATCTAGAGGAAATAATGAATTATGGTGGGGTGCGTTATTGTATGATGACGACTAATTGTTCTGAAAGTTTTAATGGTGTACTTAAGGGTGCCCGTGCTATGCCAATTAGTGCCTTAGTTGCAAGGACGTTTTATAGATTGAATGCATACTTCCAAAAGAGACGGAGTGATGGTGCAAATTGGACGAGTAAGTACACTCCAAAAAACGAGTTAATGTTGCAGAAAAGGGTTGTGGCTGTAAGAACATGTAGAATTGAACCATTCAACGACAATGAATGGGAGGTCAAGGATCGTGATGGCACTTACACCGTTCATCTCTATGACCAAGAGTGTAGTTGTACTTGTAGCCTACCACAATTACAAAAACTACCATGTGAACATGTTTTAGCAGCTAGTTCCAGTCAGGATGGTGGCGCTAGATTGCCGTATGATCGGTATTGCTCAGCTTGGTATTCAACAAATCATTATCGGAAGGCTTACAAAGAGAGTTTTCATCCTCCCGATGATACTCGTTATTGGCCTGCCGCTTATACGGAATATTTATTACCACCTCAAGTCAAAAGACAAGCGGGAAGACCTCGATCTGTGCGCATCAGAGGTACTATGGATCAAGGCCGGGAAGGAGGAGCATCACGAATCAGATGTGGAACATGTAGTCAATTAGGGCATAATAGGTCTCGTTGTCCATCAAGAACAAGTTTATAGCAATTAATTGGTAATATATTTTCTATTTACATTGTTAATTTTATTTTTGTGGCCTTATACATTTGGTAGAAACTAATAAGGTAATCTTGACATCGTTCAGGTATATACGCGATGCTCCCCGAGCCGGTTTCTGATGAAGTCCTCTATGATCAGCCACGCCATCGTTCAGAGAGTATATCATTTACAGAGGTACTATGGCTCTATGTTTTGATTGATTTAGTTTAGACTCACATTATTTATTATTGTGATATTCTAATATTTGTTTTTATTTTTGTGTAGAGAGGGCAAGAGCTGGTTATGATTGATCATAGCCTTGGGCATATGCGTTGGCCGCTTGATGATCCTCGCATCATTGCCCTTGTGTCACAAGCCGGTTTTCTGATTTGCTCACAATTGCGATGGATGAAACTCGACTGGGCACTGCTTAATGCGTTAATGGATAGATGGAGGCCCGAGACTAACACTTTTCATCTACGTGTTGGGGAGGCAACTATTACTCTTCAGGATGTAGCAGTGATCCTAGGACTCCGCATTGATGGTCCTTGTGTCACAGGGACAGATAGGCATGTTTGGCGGGATGTATGTGATAATTTGCTAGGACTATCACCGGAGTCCTTGCCTGGAGGGTATATTAGATTGAAATGGCTAAAAGAGAATTTTGCTAACCCATTGCCACACGATGCATCAGAAGTCATGATCCAACAATATGCTAGAGCATATATTTTGCACATGATCGGGACGTTTCTTTTTCCCGATTCAAGTAAACATAAAGTGCATTTGAGGTAAGACAGGTCATAAATTGTTATTACTATTTTTAGAAAATATGACTAACGCAATTGATTTTTCAATAGGTGGTTACCACTTCTCGAAGACTTTGACGTGTGTGGGACATTATCCTGGGGTAGTGCTGTTTTAGCATATCTATATCGAGAAATGTCAAAGGTTGCTTTAATGCAAAATAAAGAGCTCAAAGGCTGTTTGACATTGTTACAAGTTTGGGCATGGGAGAGACAAGTTTGGGCATGGGAAAGACTGAATTTGAAACCGCGATTATGCGAGATCCGAGAGTTGGATGGACAGATTCCACTAGGCTGCAGGTAAAATTCCTCGAATTTAATATCGTTTGATATTTTATTTTTCATTTAAACTTTTGAACAAAAATCTATCGTATATAAAACTTACAGATGGAATGTCACTAAAGCCTATAATGAGGTCCCGGCTAGACAGTTAGACTTTTACAGGGGGGAGCTCGACCGAATGAAAATTTTTCAGGTATGAATTTGAAATGCAATCGTTTAAAGCTATCGATATATTTCAAACAACAGTTAATATATGAATTATTTTGCAGTTCAAGTGGCAGCCATACGCACCTTACCTACACCGTCTACCGCTGATTTGTATGGAGGGACACGGCATATGGCGGTCCAGAGTTCCTCTCATTTGTTTCGAAATTGTGGAGATGCACGTACCCAATCGTGTGTTTAGACAGTTTGGACTCACACAACACGCTCCACAATTGGTCGAAAAAATAGAGAGAACGGCGGCTAAAGGTGGACATCAGATTAACTGGCAGCGCACGCATCAATCATACATAGCTCGGTGGAATGATCAGCATCAACTTATTGTCGATCCTCTTTATCCTCGGTCGAAAAAATAGAGAGAAAGGCGGCTAAAGGTGGACATCAGATTAACTGGCAGCGCACGCATCAATCATACATAGCTCGGTGGAATGATCGGCATCAACTTATTGTCGATCCGCTTTATCCTCCGATGCAGGAAGTCGATTACATAAGATGGTATTGGGGGGTTACCCGACGTTGGATAATCACCCAAACTGCGCCTCCAGTCGACGAAATCGAGATTCGCAACCAACAATCTCGATATGTACCAAGAGGGTTAGATGAGAGGCGATGGGTAAGTAAATTGCTTTAGATTATAATAGATTTTTCAATCTTTATGTTAGCTTTTGGTTTATTATATGAAGCAATATTTTTATGTAATTGTAGATAGACGCATTGGACGATGTAGTGGGGATTGCAAATGAGGGTATAACTACCGCCATAGGAGATTCTGTGGACGTATCTATATTACAGCGGATAGTGGCGAGAGTTCGTAGAGCTTTTCAACAAACTCATGAGGATCGACATGAAGGTCGTGAGCAGGTGGATCTTGAAGATACTACATATGTGTGTCACCGTAGACGTGATAGATCTTGCACGCAAGACGATGAAGCTGGCTCGTCACAACAAGCTGGTCCGTCACAACGAGCTGGTCCGTCACAGCCCCACACACAACCGGAGAGCGAGCATATACAAGCTCAAGACGAAGGGGGCCGCCGACGATCTCAGCGGGTGCGAAGGCCGAGACAACGGGGGAGGGGTGGATTTTTCCTTTGTTAGTTTTTCCATGTAGATTATTGTCGTATGGATTTATTGATGCATTTGGATTTATTCTACTTAAGCTACATATTATCGTATGGTTAGACTTAATGCAGTTGGAATTATTTTGTGCTGATGTGAATTTTGGTTGAATTTTGGATGTGATGTTGTGATACTAGTAGTCCCGTACATTTTGGTGAGCCACGAGAAGCTCACAGAAAACATACGGGACTACTAGTCCCGTATGTTTTCTAATCTCTAATTAGTGTATTGAAAACATACGGGACTAGTAGTCCCGTATGTTTTCAGGCCAAGTTTTTGAAAATCGACCTCTTTTTGGCCAACAGGCCAAAAAGAGGTCGATTTTGCTAAATATTTAGCAAAATGGTCGATTTTGCTAAATATTTAGCAAATGTGGTCTATTTTCAGAATTTTTCCCCGAAAAAAAAAGAACAAACAAACAAACAAAAAGGAAAAAGAACCCAAAAATGGGTTTCCAACCCATTTCCTACAAATTTGTTAGAAAATAAGTTTTTTTTTTAAAGTTTGGACCACTTCATGTAAATTTAGGAAACTCATATCCTAAAAGCACACGTAGCTACCCCAACCCTCAGAAAAAGAAAAAAAAACACTTCTAAAAAATGTCTCTCTACTTAAAAAATATATATATTTTAAAAGTTGTTATGTGCTAGTCTACTGCTATATAAAAAACTAACAAGAGCAAGTTTAAATTTGAAGAATGATGGACATGTCATTCTTTCCTATTATAATTGAAGAGTTAAATCATAATTTAATTTTAAATAATTTTTTATCTTTTCTTCTCTTTTCTATTTTCTTTCTTCTTCTAGAATACTCTATATTATAAATCTATAAAGAAAAAGCGATGATTCTAAGGAAAAAAGTAAACATATAAAAATAAAAAATAAAAGTTCTATCCATATATTTATACCACAATTAATAGAATAAAAATGGCAAGGATGAAAAATTAATAAAGGATTTTAACAAATTGTAAATATTACAGATAATTTTCTCTTTGAAAAATCGCTTCAACGCTTTCTCTCTCTCTTAGAGTTAATGCTCACGCTATAAAAAAGCGAAACAAAATCCTTTTCTATTTTGAAATAGAAGGATATAAAGGTTCAAAAATAATATTTTCCATATCATCCGTATTTGCTTGTGTCAAATTTTTTGTATTCAAAGTATTTATTTTGAGTAGATCTTTAAATACTCAATCCCCTATAGTGGTAAATCTGTAAATAAGTGGGAAATTGCAGGGTATAAACTTTCAACACTCACCCATCCCGGCTCAACCCCTCTCTCTCTCTCTCAATCGCACACACTCAGGGGAGGGAGCAGGCGATCGCTGACGCCCTGACAGCGTCTGAGGTGCGATTTTTGTCCAAAATCACATCTTTGCGCAACCATCCAGTGGCATTCTCGTAGTTTCATTGAGTATTGAAGGCCAATCTGGATATTCTTTTTTTTTGCACTTTAACTCTTGTAAAACTTTCTCCTTGCACGCTAGGTCATGCTTTTAAAGTTGTTGTTAAACACAAATCTCAAGTTGTTCCATTTTTTCTTTTTCTTTGTTTTTGATAAAAAAGATTACTACAAAAGGCATTCTTTTGGAATAAATAAGCTCTAATGAAAATTAAGCAGATTGATTTAGAAATGGATTCTATGAGAAACGCCATTGAAGAAATCCATGTAGGCAATAAGAACAGAAAATGAAAATTCCAAGTAAGATATGTTAATGAAAATTTATTTGGCTTCAGAAATAAGTTAGATGAAGTGATGATCGCAATTTTATGGTCAAATAGATACCTTTCATGTAAATTAGAGTCAGCAAAATAAAATATCAAACCTCACTTATGAATATTTTTCAATAAAACATATGCTGTATTTAAATAAATAGCTTCTTGGTCATGAGTTATGTTTTTTTATTTTATATAATGAGCGTATTTATGACATAGTTTTTTCTGTATATGAGAAAATATGCTGTAAATAGGTCAAATATCGATATCAATAAGACTATAGATATTAGTTTTATTGTAACTAGAATTACTGCGAAGCATATATGATATAGTGAAGAAAACCCATGCAACTTCATCCATTTTTCAAATAGCTTGTTAAGGTAAAAATAAAATCTTAAGAGGTGCCAATATAAAAAATACCATTATATAAACATTTTTAAAACAAAATATCTTGAGAAAACAAGAAAAAATAATGGAGGGAAGAAAACGACATCTAATAGAGATTGGAATGCTCACAACGTCACCCGGTTCCAAAAAAATACTAATAAAATCCACCAAATTTCAATTTCAATCAAATTTTAGTCCCAAAAAAAAAAAAAATCCTAGAGAGAGAATGTAGAGAGAGAGAGAGAGGGTCAAAAGAGAGGTAGAAGAGAAGAGGAGGGGGGAAACAGGAGTAGCCAATTTCTTCTTCAAACTTCAAAAACCCTAAAAATCCCAGCTTTTGAATTTCTAGGCTCCAGTTTGACAAACTTCGTTGGGGGTTTTACTTTGGGAGAAAGGAAAGATCGCGGGTTGGAGAGCAGTTGTTTTCCTGTTTGCTGGTTTTTGCTTGCTCATGAAATTTCTAGGGTTTTGCTTGGTTTTTGATGGATTTTAATGGCGAGTAGAGGAGGAGGAGTTGGAGGCGGAGGCGGAGGAGGTGGCGGTGGAATTGGTGTGGAAAATGCTAAGGAGGCAACGATTGATATGCCGAGCTTCGTTTCTTCGATGTATGTTGATTTTTTGTTGACAAATTTTGATTATTTTTGTTTTTTTTCGTTTGCTTTGATGTAAAGGTCGCAACTTTTTTGGTGGCTTTTATTGGGTTCAGTGTAAGAGAATGATTTTGTTAAATATCACGCTATATGTTATCTATAAGATTTTAGCTGCTTAATTATTTTTTGCTTCCTACAAGAGCTGTTCTGTCTAAAGAATCTCATTTAAAAAAAAATAATGATGCATTTTCCTTATGGTGTGATTGTTTGCCAGTCTTGACGTTATGGTGATGTTCTGCAATTTTGCATATTCATTGTTATTAGCTAGGAATTTATATGTTGGGCAATTCTTATTTTCTATTTGATTATAGTTCTCCTCGTGTTGTATTCAATGATCAATCCAGAAATTGAATCAATTTTGAGTATTTATCACGCTTTGTGATGTATGAAATGCCAGTGCATTTATCTGTGTGATATGGGTATTTGAAGGTTTTACCTAATGAAGTGAACTTAGTCAACAGGGTTATTATCTTACACTCTTGGTCTGCAGACTTCTTGCAAAGTCCTTGCTTAACTGCCCTTTTGTTTTGCTCACGTTATTTTTCTTTCCATCTACACCCTACTAGGTTACTTGTATGTAAACAGATATATCATTTCTTATAAAATAGCTAGTTGGTAATAGCTAAAAAGTAAAGCCTTTTTAAGTATGGATATATGCCAAGTAAAAGTGTTTCGGATAACATTATGAGGATGTAGTAGTGAAGAGTTGAATTGTACTGTACCCTTTCCTCACATATCACAGTTAGGTCATTCTATTCCATAAATGGCACATGTTACGCAATTCCTGATTCAACTTGTGCGTTATATAGTTCTTATATGTCTTATAAATTCATATCTTTGGCCTGTTAGTTGTTAGATTATACATGGTTTATTATGTTATATGGTTGTGGTTTTTTGTCACGCTCTTGTGAAGATCTGAAACGTTATGCAGCATGCTTCTTGTCATCCTGCTTCTGTTTGATGAGACCCACAACCAATTTGGCTTTAAAATGATAGAAATACATGCCATGAAAAGACCTGATGTGTATGATGAAAATGATTGGAATGCATGAGTTTTATTTTACATATTATTCTTAGATGTAATTGATACAATTATTTTGGCTTATGACTAAGAGGGTGTTTTGGGAGGCTTTTTTCCCGTCAAACTAGCTTTTAAGTTAGTTTTTTCATTTCTATCTGTTTGGTAAAGTGACTAATAAGTTAGCTTACAAGTTTCATTTTAAAAAGCTGGTGTACCCCAGCTTTTGAAAAACTAGCTTATAAGCTCATTTAAAAAAGCTAGGTTTGACCAAACAAATTACTATTCTACTCAAACAATTTTATAGCTTTTTTATCAAAAAAGCCAAGAGCCACTAAACGCTAGCGTAACTTAAAAGCTTAAAAAAGTAAGCCTTCCCAAACACCCTCTAAGTAATGAAGATTCTTAGGTTTCATTATTTTCATAAAGAAACGAGCTCATATTGTAAACTTATTGAACCAGGTATTGGATAACTGTATATACAAAGTCAGTAATTACTGTGCTATTTGACTAGTTCCCGGTGCACCTATTCTATATGTTCAGAATCAAATATTTTTAAGAAATGGCTTGAGCAAGATCAGAGGTGCATGTCACTAGCCGTCCTTTAGTGAATTTAATTTGTTATTCATTTTCAAGTTGACAGAGCATCCTCACTTTCTGTCTAAAATGCGTAGGTTGCTAAGCAAATGTTTTTGAAACCTGACAGTATGTAAGGATGAAGTTATTTTTTCATGTTGGAAATCATGGACATCATCTACGTTCTCTAAAATAACAGTGTTTCTTGCTTGCATTTACTAATATCAATTTATTAACATCATCTTCTCAACCTCATACTTGCATTAAAAGTTTGCTTATCCTTGCTTCCATTGCCTTCTGTAGTAGTACAGCTGGAAACAACATGCACAACTCTCGAATTTCCGACATAAGGGCGCTTGAGCAATCACTGGGATTCCGCTTAGAGGACATTGCTGATTTAAGTAGAAGTATGTGATTGTTGATTATGCTATTTATTTCTTCATCCTTAAGTTTAGGAGCCAATTTATTCTTGTTGATATGGGCTTTCTATTTAGAAACAAATGTATGATCATGTCAAGCCTCCTATGCTGGTATATTGTAAATCTTCATACTGGTTTTGTTTGGAACGTGTACAGGGAGCCCTAAACTGTCCTAAGCATGTTGGTACATTTTTTTCCCTGTAAAAAGGACAAATACTTTCATATTAATGTCAACTGGCATTTATCCTTGTTTTCTACCTGCTAATTAGTTGTTAATATCTAACAAAGTGGAAATCCCATGCCTAAAGAATTTAAGAACTTAAATGTTAAATTTTGTCTATACTTTCTGGAGGTCAAATATATGCCTAAGATTTGTTTGTTTATGCAGATCCCTTGTTTAATCAAAAATCAGGAACCCAAGCTACTGGTTCTGATCCTCTACAGTTTAGCTCATTTACTGCAGTAAGTTTTTATCTTTGTGGTATTGTATGTGCCTATGATATAGTACATTGCTGTGATGGCTCTTTTCTATATGACAGCAATTTGCTTCAAAGGATACAATTCCATCTGCTGCAAGAGTTGGTTCAGTGACGCTTCCTCAGCAGAAGGGGCAACCATCGAATCTTGGTTCAATAACGAGCAATCCAGTAGAGAACTGGGGAGAATCGACAATGGCTGAGGGAAGCCCTAGGACTGATACTTCAACAGACATAGACACTGATGAAAAGAACCAACAGGTGAGTTCTCTGTTCTATATCACCATCTGTTAAATGTTTAAAGTTTTCCTGATTTTATGGACATATATTTATTCCTTTGGGGTTTGTACTTAATTTTGCCACCTTCCTCTCCATTGTTATATTGCCGAAATCACCTTGCACTTCTGTGTGTTCTTTTATGTGCTCTATTATATCTAGAAATAAAAGAACAATTGGGCAGTCAAGTCTGAGTTAGAATTGCTGTGGATTTTGATGTCCATTACAAGTCCCAATAAATGATGCTTTGCTTGGGCTTAGGGTGCAAATGAAGCAGAGAAGATATAAAGAGAGAATATAAACCTCAATACAAGTCAGCTCTGGTGTTTCTTAGCCTTATATGTATCTCAAGTAGACCAATTCTATCCAGATATGGATAAGATATTCTGATACTAATCTGAATCCGCCGAATGTTGGGAAATTACCCGGATTCCCCTATTGCCAGATTTGAGAGAGAGCGAAAAATAAATGCGCAAAAAGGGGGACACGCAAGATTTACGTGGTTCGGCACAAATTTGCCTACGTCCACGGGCTGCTGCAGATCTTTCACTATTTGGGAGAAATATTACAAGTGTTTTTCACACTCAAACTCACAATCCTCTTCACTCTGAAAATTGCTCTCAATTTTCTCTCTTGGATTTTTTTTCACTCACAGAGTTCTCTTTCTTCTCTCTTAATCACTCTCTAAGCTTATGCTCTTTTCTGTGATTTTTGGAGTGCGTTCACCAGAGGAAGAGAGGGGGGATTTTATAGGCTTCAATGTTCCCTTTTTTCTTCCTGACGTCTCTCTTTTATCAACACACACCAACCCTTCCTGATGTCTTCATCTGTTTTTGTCAAAAAACTTTTAGGTAGCATGATCTTTTTGACAAAAAAGAGCCACATGCTCTTTTGCATTTTTTATCAAAAAGGCTGCCCCCCTTTGCTTTCGGTGGCAGCATTGACTAACAATCTCCCACTTGAAGACTGATTTTAATCTGTCTTCACATCTCGATCTATGCAGCAGCTCTTCCCGGTCTTCATACTATTGCAGGCCAACTGAAGCTGAACACAGCTTCAGTTTGTCAATAGTCACCGTCTTTGTCAGCATGTCTGCTGGATTTTGAGCTCCACTGATTTTTTCAAGCTTCAAAATTCCATTTTCCAGAAGTGATCGGATAAAATGATACCGCATCTGTATGTGCTTCGTTCTGGAATGGAAAGACGGATTCTTCGAAGTAATATGTATAGCCAAAATAGAATAAATTTCGTGAATAGTGAAATTTTGCCGGCGGTACTGACTTGTCGGCAGAGGTGTTTTAATACACGGTGGTTCGCAGAAATTATCAGAAACGATCCAGAGGAAGTCAGATTCGAGTGGGAGCGATGGCTGCAGATGAAGGGAAGGTGAAAATTGAGAAGTTCGATGGTGCGGACTTCGGCTTTTGGAAGATGCAGATTGAAGACTATCTGTACCAGAAGAAGCTGTATCAACCTCTCTCGGGAAAGAAGCCAGATGATATGAAGGATGAAGAGTGGGCTCTCCTCGACAGACAAGCCCTTGGAGTTATCCGATTGACGCTATCCCGCAACGTTGCCTTTAACATAGCAAAGGAAAAGACCACGTCAGGTCTTATGGCGGCTCTCTGCAGCATGTACGAGAAGCCCTCTGCCTCAAACAAAGTCCACTTGATGAGGCGGCTGTTCAATTTGCGAATGACGGAAGGCGCATCGACAGCTCAACATCTCAATGAACTCAACATAGTCACAACCCAGTTGAGTTCAGTTGGGATTGAATTTGATGAAGAAATACGAGCATTGATACTTCTTTCTTCTCTACCAGAAAGCTGGAACGCTACAGTCACGGCTGTGAGTAGCTCATCGGGAAGCAACAAGTTGAAGTTCGATGACGTTCGTGATCTGGTTCTTAGTGAAGAGATCCGACGGAGAGAATCGGGTGAAGCTTCAACCTCCTCAGCTTTACACACGGAGTCTAGGGGAAGAACTTCAGAAAGAAGTTCAAATCACGGCAGATCAAAATCTAGAAGGAGCAAATCTAGATCAGGAAAAAAAGACTTCAAGTGCTACAATTGTGACAAGAAGGGTCATTTCAAGAGGGAGTGCCGGACACCGAAGAAAAACACCGGCACACAGGAGTCTGCCAACGTGACCGAGGAAGGAGGCGATGCTATGATTCTAAGCGTCAACAGTCTGATTGAATCATGGATTCTTGATTCAGGGGCATCATTCCATTTCACCCCATACTGAGAAATCATGGAGAACTACGTCAGCGGTGATTTCGGAAAGGTACATCTAGCAGATGATGAAACCTTGAAGATTGTTGGCAAGGGAGACATCCGATTAAAATTGCCAAATCAGACCACATGGAAGCTGCAAGGAGTGAGACATATTCCTGGTCTTAGAAGAAATTTGATCTCTGTGGGACAGCTTGATGGAGAGGGTTATTGTACAATCTTCTCGGGTCATGAATGGAAGATTACCAAAGGAGCACTCGTCATTGCTCGAGGTAAGAAGAATGGTACTCTCTATATAACCTCTAACTTAGAGAATATCATTGCAGTAACAGATGCAGATGAAAAATCAAACCTATGACACCAAAGGCTTGGTCATATGAGCGAGAAATGGATGAAGACACTTCTGTCAAAAGGGAAACTACCGGATCTGAAGAATGTAGATGTTGGTCTATGCGAAGATTGCATCTTTGGCAAACAGAAGAAAGTCAGTTTTGTAAAGATTGGCAAGACACCCAAGACAGAAAGGTTAGAATTAATTCATACCGACGTATGGGGACCATCTCCAGTTTCATCTCTTGCAGGCTCACTGTACTATGTCACCTTCATTGATAATTCTACAAGGAAGGTGTGGGTCTATTTTCTAAAGAAGAAATCAGAAGTCTTTGATACCTTCAGAAAATGGAAGGCCATGGTGGAAAATGAAACTGGTTTGAAGATAAAGAAGTTGAGGTCAGACAATGGAGGAGAGTACAAAGACAGTAGATTCAAAGAGTTTTGTGCAAACAGCGGAATCAAGATGGAGAAAACAGTTCCCATGACACCGTAGCAGAATGGCGTAGCAGAGCGCATGAACAGAACTTTGAATGAACGTGCCAGAAGCATGAGGTTACATGTCGGCTTGCCCAAGTTCCTATGGGCTGAAGCTATCAATACCGCAGCCTACCTAATCAACCGCGGACCCTCAGTTCCCTTGGATGGTGGAATACCGGAAGAAGCTTGGAGCAGAAAAGAGGTAAACCTTTCACATTTAAGAATTTTTGGTTGTATCTCTTATGTACACATAGATTCTGCTGAAAGAAGTAAACTTGATGCCAAATCTAACAAATGTGTTTTTGTTGGTTATGGTGGTGATGAGTTTGGTTACCGATTTTGGGATTATGAAAATCGGAAGATCATCAGAAGCAGAGATGTCATATTCAATGAGAATGTGATGTACAAAGACAGATCAACTGCAGAATCAAGTAGCTCCAGTACAAAAGCTGAAAAGGAATTTGCTGAATTTGAGGAGATTTCTGAAAATGATGTTCAAACAAGCCCTGAAGCAGTTCAAGAAGAACCAAGCACGCCAGAAGTGAGACGCTCCTCCAAAATTCCTAAGCCAACCCAGCGTTATTCGCCTTCTTTGCACTACCTGTTGCTGACTGACAGTGGTGAACCGGAGTGTTATGACGAAGCAATGCAGGTGGAGGATTCAGTCAAGTGGGAGTCTGCTATGCAAGATGAGATGGACTCACTCATGTCAAATCAGACATGGGACTTAGCTGAATTACCACAAGGTAAGAAAGCTCTTCATAACAAATGGATTTACAGGATCAAAGAAGAACATGATGGGAACAAACGCTACAAGGCAAGGTTGGTTGTCAAAGGCTTTCAGCAAAAGGAAGGTATCGACCAGGATCAAAGAAGAGCATGATGGGAACAAGCGCTACAAGGCAAGATTGGTTGTCAAAGGCTTTCAGCAAAAAGAAAGTATCGACTACAATGAAATTTTTTCTCCGGTTGTGAAACTGACTACAATCAGATTAGTGTTAAAAATTGTAGCTGCTGAGAATTTACATCTTGAGCAGTTAGATGTAAAAACAGCTTTCCTTCATGGTGATTTAGAGGAGGAGATCTATATAAAGCAACCAGAAGGCTTCATGAATGCAGGCAAGGAAAATCTAGTATGCCGTTTGAAGAAGAGCTTGTATGGATTGAAACAAGCTCCCAGGCAATGGTACAAGAAGTTTGACAACTTCATGGGCAGCAACGGTTTCACTAGATGTCAAGCAGATCATTGTTGCTATATCAAGAGGTTTGACAATAGCTTCATTATTTTATTGTTATACGTTGATGACATGCTCGTTGCAGGATCAGATCTGCAAGAGATTATAAATTTGAAGCAAAAATTGTCAAAGCAGTTCGCGATGAAAGATCTTGGTGCTGCAAAACAGATTCTTGGAATGAGGATCAAGAGAGACACGAAGTCTAGAATCTTGATGTTATCACAGGCTGAGTACATCAACAAAGTACTCTCCAGGTTCAACATGCAAGATGCAAAACCAGTGGGTACACCTTTAGGTGTTCATTTCAGACTTTCCAAAGATCAGTCACCGAAGACAGAGGAAGAGCGTGCACACATGGCGAAGGTCTCGTAACAGGCTATGTAGATGCTGATCTAGCAGGAAATGTTGATATCAGAAAGAGCACTACAGGGTATGTATATACTCTAGGAGGTACTGCAGTGAGTTGGGCTTCTCAACTGCAGAAGATAGTTGCTCTCTCCACAACTGAAGCAGAATATGTCGCTGTTACAGAAGCCAGCAAGGAAATGGTGTGGCTTCAAAATTTCTTGGATGAATTAGGCAAGAAACAAGAAGACAATGTCTTATATTGCGACAGTCAAAGTGCTATTCATCTAGCGAAGAATCCGTCTTTCCATTCCAGAACGAAGCACATACAGATGCGGTATCATTTTATCCGATCACTTCTGGAAGATGGAATTTTGAAGCTTGAAATAATCAGTGGAGCTCAAAATCCAGCAGACATGCTGACAAAGACGGTGATTATTGACAAACTGAAGCTGTGTTCAGCTTCAGTTGGCCTGCAATAGTATGAAGACCGGGAAGAGCTGCTGCATAGATCGAGGTGTGAAGACAGATTAAAATCAGTCTTCAAGTGGGAGATTGTTAGTCAATGCTGCCACCGAAAGCAAAGGGGGGGCAGCCTTTTTGATAAAAAATGCAAAAGAGCATGTGGCTCTTTTTTGTCAAAAAGATCATGCCACCTAAAAGTTTTTTGACAAAAGCAGATGAAGACATCAGGAAGGGTTGGTGTGTGTTGACAAAAGAGAGACGTCAGGAAGAAAAAAGGGAACATTGAAGCCTATAAAATCCCCCCTCTCTTCCTCTGGTGAACGTACTCCAAAAATCACAGAAAAGAGCATAAGCTTAGAGAGTGATTAAGAGAGAAGAAAGAGAACTCTGTGAGTGAAAAAAAATCCAAGAGAGAAAATTGAGAGCAATTTTCAGAGTGAAGAGGGTTGTGAGTTTGAGTGTGAAAAACACTTGTAATATTTCTCCCAAATAGTGAAAGATCTGCAGCAGCCCGTGGACGTAGGCAAATTTGTGCCGAACCACGTAAATCTTGCGTGTCCCCCTTTTTGCGCATTTATTTTTCGCTCTCTCTCAAATCTGGCAATAGGGGAATCCGGGTAATTTCCCAACACCGAAGCGTCTCAATTTTTCTTCATTCCCTTATCTGAACACCCAACTGTGGAAATATGATAAATTTCAAAAACTTCAGATGTGCATTGAGTGTGTTGTTGCTATCAAAATATGAAGCAAACCATAAATTTTAATCTTAGCATAAATGATAATTTTTGTTCTTGTGAAGTGTTTTCAGAAATAACGTGCATTTTATGCAAACTCATTCAAGTGGATTTTTAATGTACTGAAATAAATAACTTGTGTTTCGTTTATCCAGTTTAAATACACCAAAATGTGTGATTGGACATTTTTTAAGAGAGGTGTGGGAATCCTTTACATGGTTAGGACTTGAGGAGGTTTTGCCCCATCCATTACAAGCATCCTCGGAAGCTTTTCACCACGTCGTCCGATTGATCCATACAACATATTCCTTGTTCTGAATCTTTTAAATAAGGTCTCTGTTTATACATATACAAATACACTTTTGCAGAGAGGCTTCAGTTATTGCATATTTTATGGTAATATTGTTTAATGATTGTACTTCGTATAGTGGGGTATTACTGATACTAATGTAAAAGAAGCTGTTTATGATGTGTATGTCAAGGACAGCTTTACATAGAAACTTAAGCTATTAGTTTGTGGACTAATGATGTATATCAAGCTAATGTAGTTTTTAATACTCCTCTCATGTTGGTCTTTGAGACACATGGAAGGGCTCTAACTTTGAAGTTTACTTGGAAAGTCAAAGTAAGTTGGAGTTTTAAATCTATATAGTTAAGAGTTTTGAACTTAGGACCTCTTCAAATTTGGTGCAAACATATCG